ATCGAATGAGAGAGAGAGAGAGAGAGGGAAAGACTTGGGTTGAAAAACTAGTGAAAATCCGTTTGCACGAGCAGAGGGAGACCCTTTGAAACAGGGAGGGAGAGAGAGAAGGAGAAGGTTCCCTCACCTTCCCCTCCGTACGTTGCTCCCTCGGGCCGGATTGAAAAGTATCTTGGCAGCGCGGAGTTAAAAGGGGAGTCTCGTTGATCGGCATCGCGGTTCACTGCTGCGAGCACGATGTGGGTGTGACCTGGTTTCCGAGAGTTTCACTTTCCTGTAACATCGTTGCACGGAGGAGGTAAGGAGGATTCGACCCCAGAGTTACGTCATGCATTGTTATGCCGGCCGTAACGGGTCGTAGACGTACGTGCGGAACTCTGCGGGAATTAAAATAAGCGGCCGACTCTATTTTGCCTCGCGAGGAGCCCATGGCTAGGAAAGTGCCACGAGGAAGGCAGATTCGTCACAATCGTTCAGCCATCGCTCACTCATAAAAATTCACCAGGATTGAAATCGTGCTCGGTCCCTTTCCTATTTCGTTCGCTCGAAAAAAAAAGGAAAACACTCTCTCTCTCTCTCTCTCTCTTTCTCGAGAGTAGGCAGATCGATCCGGAATGGAGGCGGTTGATCGATCTGTGTCGATCGTACGTCGCACAATCGCGATACCAACGAATTCATAACGCGTACGATGCGTAATGCACGCGCTCGCGTGTCCACGTTGGCGCGCGCGCGCGCATACGTCTACCTTCGCCACGAGCGTGTGTGCCGGCATATATAAAAGAGCGTTCTAGCGTGCGACCTATATTCCACGCCTGCATTGCTATATTAGACGCGTACGACGCATCAGGGACGCGCCTGAAACACGCCTTCCCCTCCTCACCTGATGCCAATCAAACACCAATTCACCGAATAATTCGGCGGCTTCTATTGTCCGCCGCCCGAGGTGCTCGCTCTTCCCTCGCTCGGTCGAAGGTGGAATGGATACACGTTTCGAGTGATACACGTACACCAGATTTGGAAATTTTTTAATCACGAGGGGAAGGATGAAACGTGAAACTAGACGTAACTCGTTTCATTTCGCCGAGGGAAAAATAAATAACGGGGTGATCGGTAATTGAGAAATGCGATGCGACATCGGGTGGAAGCCAGATCTACGCGTATAATGGTAACGATTCATTCGTCGGATATGGAGAAAGAACGTGGTAACGTTTACGCGGGAGCACGAGGAAGCGAAGAATTTATTTTTATCGCGGTTCTTCCCGTAGAACGAAACGGTGGCGCACGGCCGATCGATGGACCGGCACCGCAAAGACGACACCGTCCCTTCCAAGTGTAAATTACAATTTGATGAGTCGACAAATGGCTTTACCGCCTTGCTCTATCTCTGTCCGAATACGCTCGTCGCACTCGCACGGTATAAATACAGATGATCAAACACGGATTGTCATTTCGTTGCTCGACAGGCGCCACCGCGCTGGCGGGAAAAATCGAAAACAATCGCAGTAACCTCGCGAAGGTTCCATGAAATACGCTCTGTGTTTGTTTTATACCAGCCGAGATCTCTCCCAGTTCTCTTTCAACCCATAAAACCGTGAGTAAAATGAATCAACGGAAACTGTGCTCGCTCCGTGTCGAGACCGAGATAGACAGATAGAAAGAGAGAGAGAGAGAGAGAGAGAGAGAAGGTTAGAAAAGATCAACGCGGCTAAGGCAGAGATCGATGGATCGTTCTCAATGGCAATATCGTCGATCAACGTCGATCGATTCGATTGGCTCGAGAAGCTCGGCGATACACGGACGATTCGGAGTTTGGCGCGATATTAATAACCGAAGCGACGAGAAAGAAATGCGACGATTCCGTTCGCCATATGGTCAACCTAAATTCTAAGAGGCCGTCGTAACTAGCATAACCGGGATAACCTACATAAAGAGAGGAGATACTAGAGCCGGCTGGAGTACACGTCTTGTACGGGTCTTGACGAACCGATCCGACGGATCCAAAGAATCCGCACAGCGCCAGCCACTGTATAACACATGTACGGCGAATGTCGAGAATTCCTTCCACGTTCCTCGGCCGCGGAAAAAAAAGTGAATGAAACGTCCGGCATAGCGAGGCCCCGTACGCGCGTTATGGAACTTATTAGAACTATCTATCTGTCTAACAGCATCTCTTTGCTCGGCGATGACGATCAAACGGGGGCGGAAGATGATCCAGAGATCGATTAAAATTCGTTGAAACGTGTAACGGAGATTGGACGAATTCGCAAACAAGAAATTTTTCGCGAAGAATGAAAACAGGGTAAAAAAAAAGTGGATTCCGTGAGAGAAAAGAGGAAAGAAAGAAAGAAAAAAAAAAAAGAAGAAAATAGGATAGAAGGAAATCGATCGCGTCGATCGAGTAAAGCGTATCGCGTTTCGCTATATTAATGTCCATTTTCACGAGGAGATTCGATTCGGCGGCGTTCTCTCCGATTCGACAGCCGGCTGTGCACAGTCGTTGTCCTCCTATGGACTGCGGTCGAGACTTCTCCCATTAAATCACAAATGAATGACATTAGCGGTGCTATAATATCGTACCACTATTACCGTGACGGGTATTACGTGTCACGAGGCGTGCTCTCGCTCCCTCTCTCGCCTCCTTCCTCTTCTCACCAGAGCGGCCGCGGCTCGCTCCGTCTCGCTCCCTCGCCCCGCCAACTCTCTCTTTCCATCTCCCTGCGCCACTCTCTGGAAACACTCTTACCGTTGCATGCAAGGAATCAGGTCACTGCGCTGCAAGAAAGCAAAAGCGACGGTACGAGCCGCGGATTAGTATTATCGAATATATATACCTATATCCTCCGGAAAAGGACGATGACTAAGGCGTCGTTTCGACAGAACTTTCGCGTACACGTACGGCCGAGCATTGGCACGGCTTAGGCGAACCTCGGCATATGTTTCACGGGAGCATAGCTTTTGTTTGTTTTCTCGGCTAGCTTTCCGACGGCCGGCGAATAAACGAGACCGTTTTTCGTTCAACGACCGATCAACGATCATCGGCTCGATACGTTTTTTATCGGGGACGAACAATCATTGAAAAAACGCAAAAACGAAAAAAAAAAAAAGAAATTCGAACTCTGCCTACATTCGTTGAGATCTTGTCAACTCGTGACGAGATTAAAATTTTTACGCATACCTACTAGGGAACCCTAGGAAATCCTAGGGATAATATTGTTGTTGGATCTTTTTCATTCCATTCAAAAGAAGAAAAAAAAAAAGAAAAAGAAAAATAATTTCGAAAATAATATCGTTTGTAGCGATTCTAAATCGAATAAAATTTATAGTAGACTCTTATTATAGTAGACGACTATAGTCGTGGAGGAGTCGTGGTCGGAAAAAATTGGTCGAAAAATCATGGTGGAAGTCGGGTCATCTAGCCGGGTCGTAGTTCAATGTCGCTTCGTGGATGTGTATGTGTGTCGTAAACGGCGTAATCTACGCTGATCGGGCTATGCGTAATCCGGTTGGTAGATGGAGAGAGAAAGGAAGAGAGGAACAATAAGAGGAAGAGAGAGAGAGAGAGAGAGAAGATAGATCGGTTAGCGAAGCGTGCACCGCGAGATTATTATAAACACTCCGACTAGGCAAAGAGCGACGGGGCTTGATTGATCGGGCGATTGATCGGCGGCAACGTTTATCCACACGCGCGGCATCCCCGCGGTGGATAATTAAAAAACACGGGTAATAAAATTCACGGGTTAAGGAGCGAGCGTTGGTTAAAAAGAAACAAACAGAAAAGTTTCAAACTGAGTCGAACTTACGAACACCCGGTTTATTTACGTTTCATTCGATTACGAAACGGGAACGCATCAAACCGGCTATACAACTAGGCTAGTTGAAACGCGCAATAACAAAGTTCGTGTTCCTCGGCCGCGATGCGTGAACGCGATAATTAATTAGAAATGTCGCGCGATTATGCATCCCCGCGGTACGACTTTTAATTATATTCTCGATTCCAGTGAGTGCACGTGTACATGCCTGTTAAAGTTCACCCCTTATTAGAAATATCGGATGATGCAGCGACTGGCAACGATTAGCACCCATCGCACGTACCTTGTTAGAAGAATAGCCGAGTTGAGAGCGAAAGTGCGGCGAGGCCATTTCTTAGCGATCGGCCTCTATCCTGGACGAACCATTGCCAACTCTCGTCTTTTTTCCGAGAGTTTCGCGTTTAATTTGCATTACGATTATCATCTTTCACGATATAATTTTAACATCGTCCTTCTTGGGCATTTTTTTTATTTTTCCTTCGTTCTCGAATACAAAAAACTTGAAATATCACGCGAATATTTTTATTCCTTTAATAACAGATAAAGCTCGAAAAAGCGAGCTCGTGCGAACTTTGCAAAGGTCTAAAAACGGTCTAATTTATTTCGATCTTGACGCAAGAACGACACAGAGAAATAATAATAGTGGGCTTTCGTAAGACGGTATGGTTTGAACAACCATAAAGTGGCCAATCGTGAAGTTATCATTATCGATATTATTCATGCGTTCGCAAATTTTTCTTAGATCGCCGTGCCACGCAGAGCGTACGTACAATCGTCGTGTCGGGGCTCGTTCGCTCGTGCAATTTATGACACGTCGCGCGCCCGTTTGACAGTAGAAAAGGTCGAATATACGAGGACACGCGTCTGACCACCGACGGTACTCTTTCCACGAATCGACGATCGCAGGTCGAAACAAAGCATCGCGATAAATCGTCCCCGTACGTGCAGTTACGACTTGGTAACTGTGCACGGGTGCATCGGTGACGTCGTGTTGCGTTCTTTTC